CGACCTAACATCCAACTTCTTGAATAAGCAGGGCCTATCATTTGATGGGTTAACCCGCGCCACTCTTCTGGTCACATGACCTTCAATCTGTATTTCCTGGGGAGAAGGCAGGCTGAAAACACCTAGAAGAACACAGTGTGCCCCCTGCCCCCTGGCCCCTGGCCCCTTCCCCCCTGCCCCTCTGCCCCCTGCTCCTCTCCCCCTCTCCCTAGTGAAAGCCAAGAAAGTGCACTGCAAATGTCTTGATCACATCCACAAGGGCAATGCAAGGGACATTCGCGAACTCTGTAAGTTGAGACTCCAGGAGAAGGAGGAGCGTGGTCGGAGGCAGGATAACCACTAACTGAGCAGACATACTGTCAGAGTTCACCTTTTCTCTCATACTTAAACAGATACCCACAACTCAACAGTTTGACTTTCAGTCCTCCTCAATATCAATTATTTTAAAATAATCCATTTTTAATGGGAGCAGAGGATAGAAAAAGAGGATAAAATTAAAGAATGGTTCTTCCCAGCTAAGTCTTTAAGAAGATAAATCCTGCTGCAGACATTACATGGAACCAAGGGGTCGCAGACTGAAAACTGTAACTTTGGGGTTGAAATTTCAAGGAATATATAAGGCTAAATACTTTCTTCAAAAAGCAAATAGCCAAAGTAGGAGGGAAAAAACACACACTAGCTGAAAAGCACGCAACCTCATGGTAATCACTGGCAGTTCCATGGAGATATGCAACTCCTCTGAGGAGAAGTATCTTTAGTTCAGTCATTCCTTTCCAGAAATATGGATGTTATTAAAGAGCAGTTATCTAATATGTGAAGAAATGAAGTTTAGGTTCGTTTGTTTACAATGGTTCTCTGAATTTTTAAAAAATCTTGAAAGCTGAGGAAATACTGCTCTTGACTTTGTATTAGAATGTGTATGACTAAACTCCTAAAAATTCTAAGTCGCCTAATAAATGAATAGCAAATGGTTAAGAAAACAAAACTGATCACCACCCTCCCGAACCCGCCCCCCCCCACAGACCCACAGAGTGACAGTGGGACTGATGAGGGAAAGGAGCGGCGGAGGATGAGTGAGACCAAAACACGTGCGCACACGTGCGAAGATGACGCACTCGATGACAGGGAGACAGGGGATGGCAGGAGTTAACCTGAGCAAATTACAGCCACATGGAACACCCTGGCGAGATGCCTTTGTGCGGTTGATGCGCAGGGAAACAATGAAAAGCTGAATGCTGGGAGAGGCGCAGAGGGGTCTGCGGGGGAGGGGTGAAAACGCTGCGTGCACGAATGAGCATAAAGCGATGACACTTGCGGAATTGTTTTACGGAGATGGGGAGAATAACAGAAGAGGTGAGTTTGATCATACTGTAAGCATGCATGGAAGTATCATCATCGTTCCCTGGTACACCGAATATGTGCCAATAAAAATCTTCTTTGAAACAATAGGGCTTTGTGCCCTTCACAGATCTAATGAACCAAAACTCTCAGTGTAAGACACCTCCCAGGGCATCTGTGAGCACTGAATGTAACTAACAATAACCACAGTCAAGAAACTGCAACTACTAATCTGTAACCTGCACTTCATGTAGGAAGCAATGCTGAAACAGAACAAGGTCAAGGCTGTAGTTAAGAAAGAATGCTCTCAGAAGCACGTCTATTTTCAGCATGAGGTCACCTCGTTAGGGTGAAAAGAAACTAAATATTTAATCCTTTATGAGAGCCATCTATCTGATTTTAAAACACCAACTTAAGTTCAGATATTTGAATATAAAACTAAATGAGTTGTGGGCTGGGAAGGTGGCTCAGTGGTAGAGCGCTTGCCTTGCATGCATGAGGCCCTGGGTTCGATTCCTCAGCACCACATAAGCAAAAAAGAAAAAAAGCCGGAAGTGGCACTGTGGCTCAAGTGGTAGCACGCTAGTTTTGAGCTGAAGAGCTGAGGGACAGTGCCCAGACCCAGAGTTCAGGCCCCACGACCGGACCCAAAAAAAAAAGAAAGAAAATACCATTGGTTTCCTTGAACCCTGAAATCTTTCTAACATCATTTAATGGTTCTAAGAGTGTATTGGTAGATGTCTCCAGATTTTCTATATATATAACCAAAGAGACTTTACTTTCCAAAATTGACGCCTGAATTTCTTTGTCTTACCTATTTCCCTGCCTAGACCCCCCAGGACAACAGAACAGATCAAACTGAGAAGTGGTAAGAACAGATACCCTTACCTTGTCCCTCATCTGAAAGCAGACGCATCCAGTGTTTCTGAAAACCATCAAGTACATTAACTGTGACATTTGTAACCATGCCCTTTATCGGGTTAAAGAATTTTCCTCTTGTCAAATTTTGAGAGAAGCGGCATGGCCACAGCAATTTTGAAAAAAGATAAAGCAAACGGGCTCCTGTTTCCCACTTCCAAAGAATACCACAGAGAAAAGGCAATTGAGACAGCATGATGCCGGCACAAGGACAGACTTACGGATCACTTTAACAGCACCAATACAAACCCACATATTCATGGTCAACAAAACGCTGACAATGTGAATTATAACAATGTAATAAAATGCAGAAAAAGAATCTCTTCACTGAACAGTGCTGGACAGCGTCTCTCCTCCTGGATTTAGTCAAGAGAGTCCAGTCCACCACTGTTTGTTCAGCTTGATAGCCAACATCTCAATCTTTTGCTTTCTAACTAATCAGTAAAATAAATAATGTATATTTGCTTCTCTAAAGAAAGCAATAGTGCTGGGGAAATTGGTATCCACAAGCAGAAAATTAAGTTGTTATATTAAAAGACGACTCAAAACGAATCAAAACCAGACATATAAAAGCAAAAGCACAAGACTATTAGACAAACCTTTACTATCTTGATTTTGGCAAATGATTCTGAAATATGACTCCAAAAGCATGAGCAGTGAAGGAATAAAATAAGGTGAACTTCATGAAAGACTGAAAACTTTTGAGCTTCAAACGACACGATGCAGAGAGAGGACAGCCCACAGACTAGAGCATTTTGTAAGTCATATATCTGCTAAAGGACTCGTAGCTAGACTGTGTAAGAATTCTCTGCCAGGTGCCAGTGGCTCGTGCCTGTCATCCTAGCTACTCAGGAAGCTGAGATCTGAGGATCGTGGTTCAAAGCCAGGCCAGGCAGGAAAGTCCATGAGACTCTAATCTTCAATTAACCACCAGAAAACTGCAAGTGGCACTGTGGCTCAGAGTAGTAGAGCACTAGCACTGAGCAAAAGAACTCAGGGACAGTGCCTAGGTCCAGAGTTCAAGCCCCAGGACCACTCAAAGAAAAAAGGAAAGAGGAAAAGAATTCTTACCTCTCAATAACAAAAAGTCAATTTTGGCAATTTTTGAAAGAACAAAGGAGATGAATAATTATTTCTCCAATCAAGAATATAAATGACACCTGTAATTCCAGCACTCAGAAAGCTGAAGCAGGAGCATTGTGAGTTCAAGGCCATAGAGCAAATTCAAGGTTACCCTAAATTGTATAACAAGCACATGAGATGTTCTACACCATTAGTAATTGGGGAAGAACCAGTCAAAAACCACAATGATACACACAAGTGTTTTGAGGATGTATAGACACTGGACACCTCACACCAGCTGGTGGGAATCTAAGATGACGCACCCCAGCTGTGGAAATCAGCACACACTCCATGAGCAATGAGACTGAAGAGTTACAGCATCTTTCCAAGAGAAATGAAGCCGTAGTTCTATACCAAAATGTGGGTGGGAGTGTTTCCAGCAGCGTTATTCATAAGAGCCAAAAGACAGGACCAACCTAAATCTTCATTAACTTAGAATGAGCCAAGTATGTGTCCAAACAATGGAATATTATTAGCCATAAAGGGAATGAAAGTCTAGCACATGCAGCCACATGGGTGAACCATGAAAACAATAAATGAGAGCTGTCAATTCAACAGATCATATATTAAGTCATTTCGCTTTGGGAAATGTGCAGAACAAGTACATTTGTAGACACAGACACAGGTTCGTAAAAGCCTAGAACTGAAGGGACCTGGGCTTCCCCTTGGTGAGCCTACGACTCTAAAGCTGCTACAATACATTGACAGTTCTTTTTTTTTTTTTTTTTTGTCAGTCATGGGGCTTGAACTCTGGGCCTGGGCGCTGTCCCCGCACTCTTCAGCTCAAGGCCAGTGCTCTACCACTTGAGCCACAGCGCCACTTCCGGTTTTCTAGTGGTTTATTGGAGATAAGAGTCTCACGGAGTTTCCTTCCTGGCTGGCTTTGAACTGCGATCCTCAGATCTCAGCCTCCTGCGTAGCTAGGATGACAGGCGTGAGCCACGGGCGCCCGGCTGACATTGACAGTTCTAAAGGAACCACTTAAATCCTAAACAGGCAAAGATGTTAATAGGAAAAGTAATAAAATTCCCAAAATGAAATGAAGAAAGCTTCAAGAGTGCCAAATCACAAGAGAAAAATACTAACAGCAAATAAACATGAAACTAGCCAACACCACAGCTGCTGAGATACAATGAAGACAAAGCATCTCTCGCCGTCAGGAGGGACGATGGTGCGGGCGATGAGCACAATACTCCTGATACACACGGGGGGGGGGGGGGGATAAACACAAGCACGCAGCTAGATGGCTGACTGTGGTGACTTGAAGTATTTACACACCCATGTGTCCACATGTGCACACCTCACACAAAGAAAGGAAGCGTCTCGCGGAGGTCGCGGTGTTACACAGTACCACAAAATTACACAGACGGACTCATAGTGAGCAAATGCTTTCAAGGCATGGAAACGCAGGTGTTTAGTAATTTCTATGCAAATGAACCTTCTCTCTAATGAAACCAAATGAATTTGAAGAGCAATGAAGAAGGGGGCATCCTGGGGAGATGGGGCGCTGGCCACAGCGATGTGGACGTGACAGCCTTTTCTGCTGATACCCAGCGCCCGCATCCAGCAGGGCCGGGGAGGTGGGCCGGGCTCTCACCGGGACCCGTGCCGTGGTTCATTACCTGCTTTGGAAGTCACAAGCTGCAGCACAAGAGGTCTTCTTGTTACAATGCCAGATCCTCGAGGAAGGAAGTCCCTGGAAAGCAAGAAACAACAATTCAAGCATTATGCAATTCTCATTACCTAACAAGTGATAAGTTGCATTGTAAACTACTTCTTCCAACTCCCAATCTTCCAACTTAGCATCTACCTAAAGTAGGCTAGACCCACACCCTCAAACCAAAATTAAATATGATAATTTTGTAAAGCATAATTCAGATGGGAGCAAGTGGTTCACACCTGCATCCTAGCCGACTCTTATCTCCAGTTAGCCACCAGAAAACCGGAAGTGGCGCTGTGGCTCAAGTGGTAGAGCGCTAGCCTTGAGCTGAAGACTGAGGGACAGCGCCCAGGCCCGAGTTCAAGCCCCAAGACCCACCAAAAAAAAAAAATCAGCAATTTCTCTGGTTTCCAGGTCGGTATTAGTAGTGATGTAACCCAAAATTGTAAATTTCAGTTATATTTTCTAAATATCCTGAATTTTTATCAAATAAATACACAAAATATGGGATCAAGTAGAGGTAAACATTGTATCTGGAAATATTAATATCAGAAAAGTTATTCCAACATGCATTTTACTTCTTCTCATTCCTGGTAAATTGAAGGTTTGTTTTTTATTTTGCTTGTTTTTTTTTTACAAAGACCACATTGAAATGTTAATATGTATCTCAGGCCAATAAAATGCAGGAAAGAATATAGCATATAACCTCGCGCCAACCATGCCATGTAAGCCATATTGATTCTACATGTCAAAGAATTCCTGAACGTACCCACATACTTGCAGCAGCACTTGGGGCTGGGGTTTTGTGGGTGGGGAGCTGTTGCTTTATTGGGGTGTGGGAGACTGTGCTGCTCAGGCTGGCCTTGGCCGCTTGAGCCCCCCTCTGCCCTGTGCAGCCACTTTTGAGGCCGCCCTGGGCTGAGGCCCCCGTGTGTTTGCCCCATGTGGTGGTAATGACAGGTGCTTGCCAGTACCTCCAGAAAAAATGCCCAGGGAGCAAAACAGTAGTTTACTCAAGAAATTCACTGAGAAACTAAGAAATGCTAGCGAGATGCTGTGGAAGGGTTTCTTGACAGGTCACAGTGTCTCCTGGAATGTGAAGTCTCATGAGAAGATAAAAAGGGGCAGGTAAGAAATGACAGAAGGCCATTGATGAATGATGTTTAGAAGATAAACGAGGGGAAGGATGTGCTCTCCTTATCTTTTGAATATATTAATACATATTTATATGCTTAATATCAGGATGATTTCTCTATAATCACGTAAGTTTCAATCGGAAGGATCAGAACGAGGTTGTGTGATGGTTTCCGTGTATAAGCTCAGCACTGGGGAGGTGGAAGTGTACACTGGGTCTGCCTGGGCTAGAAATCAAGATTTGCCTCAAACACCAAAACAGAGCATCTTGTGATTTGTCATTATAACTAAACAAGGAGAGGTTGATATAAAGATCAAAACTTAAAAACCACTAGAAAGAGCTGGAAAGAATCTGAATTTTCCCCACGGAGGATCTGGGATGGCACGGATAAACCTAGACCTTAAAGGGCTACGTAATGTCAAGAAGCAGATCAGTAAAACGTTTTCTTCACAACATAGCAAGGAACAATGGGGAGCAAGAGGAGGCCCCTGGCAAGGTCCTGGCATAGGCCTTGAGTGCGACTTCATCTTCAGGACACAGGCTCAGTGGCAAGTCCTCTGAGCAGGATGGTTCTCACACGGGCAAGTAACTGTTGTAAGCCTTCACATGCGTCTACCTTCATCTGGTCCTTGTTTAAATTTATTAAGCAGGCAGAATTTGCCTTAGGAGTAAGGAATGGATGCAGGCATTCAATCCCATTCCTATGAATTCGCATTTCTGCTGGTTACCAGTCCTGCTTCTAGTACACCCTCAATAGCAGTGAAAAGATTGTGGAGCCAAATCTTCTATTTGTAAGTCTCTCCTGTGTTCACGGGAGTCTCTACATGCCACAGGAGCACTCGGAGACATATTTCTCTGTAATGAAGAGGGAGACACTAATTTGACATCCTGGAAACAGGATGTCAGCTAAGTAAAAATCACAAGCCCGGCACAGGCCGACAGCGTGTGCGAAGGCACAAGTGCAAATGACACACCCGGCACAGACCGACAGTGTGAGTGAAGGCACAAGTGCAAATCACACACCCGGCACAGACCAACAGCGTGGCGAAGGCACAAGTGCAAATCACACACCCGGCACAGACCAACAGCGTGGCGAAGGCACAAGTGCAAATCACACACCCGGCACAGGCCGACAGCGTGTGCGAAGGCACAAGTGCAAATCACACACCCGGCACAGGCCGACAGCGTGTGCGAAGGCACAAGTGCAAATCACACACCCGGCACAGGCCGACAGCGTGAGCGAAGGCACAAGTGCAAATCACACACCCGGCACAGGCCGACAGCGTGTGCGAAGGCACAAGTGCAAATCACACACCCGGCACAGGCCGACAGCGTGGCGAAGCGACAGGCCTTCCAGTGAGCGCTGCGAATGGCAGCCCCACCTCCAGATGGACAGCACCCCATTTGGTAGTGTTGCTTTCTACTCAGTAATGTTGACTACAGCCCAGGTGTATATGGCTCAAGTGAGGTGCAACCCAGGATTGAAAACCAGGCCTTATCAAATCCACTCCAATCGGGTGCCCTGTGCCTTGCTTGTGGCTGGACCTTCCAGACCTTGGCTGGGGGTTCCAGACCTCGGCTGGGGGGTTCTAGACCTCGACTGGGGGTTCTAGACCTCGGCTGGGGGGTTCTAGACCTCGGCTGGGGGTTCTAGACCTCGGCTGGGGGTTCTAGACCTCGGCTGGGGGGTTCTAGACCTCGGCTGGGGGTTCTAGACCTCGGCTGGGGGGTTCTAGACCTCGGCTGGGGGTTCCAGACCTCGGCTAGGGGGTTCTAGACCTCGGCTAGGGGGTTCTAGACCTCGGCTGGGGGTTCTAGACCTCGGCTGGGGGTTCTAGACCTCAACTGGGGGGTTCTGGACCTCAACTGGGGGGTTCTGGACCTCGGCTGGGGGCGTCGTCCTCCCTGTGACACAGCAGCTAGCCCTGGCATCTGTCTTCCGTCAGGCTTCCCTCAGGGAGGCACTGGTCTGCGCTGCGACAACAGGACAGGCAGCCCCTGTGCCCCTGTGCCCCTGTGCCCTATGCCCTGTGCCCCTGTGCCCCTGTGCCCTATGCCCTGTGCGTCTGTGCCCTGTGCCCTATGCCCCTGTGCCCTGTGCCCTGTGTGTCTGTGCCCTGTGCCCTGTGTCCTATGCCCTGTGCCCTATGCCCTATGCCCTGTGCCCCTGTGTCCTGTGCCCTGTATGTCTGTGCCCTGTGCCCTGTGCCCTGTGTGTCTGTGCCCTGTGCCCTATGCCCTGTGCCCCTGTGCCCTGTGTCCCTCTGTCCTGTGTCCTGTGTCCTGTGCCCCTGTGCCCTGTGCCCTGTGTGTCTGTGCCCTGTGTGTCTGTGCCCTGTGCCCTGTGCCCTGTGTGTCTGTGCCCTGTGCCCTATGCCCTGTGCCCTGTGCCCTGTGTGTCTGTGCCCTGTGCCCTGTGCCCTGTGCCCTGTGTGTCTGTGCCCTGTGCCCTATGCCCTGTGCCCTGTGCCCTGTGCCCCTGTGCCCTGTGCCCTGTGCCCTAAGACTCAAACCTAAAGTCTAACTCTACAATGTTGAGCATTAAACTCTGCTATATTGTTTACACTGAGGAGGAAGAGCTGAGGAGGGTATTTGGACATGTTGATCTTCAGGTGTCTGGGACAGGTCCAAGTAGAGACAACACAGTACACATTAAACTGAAGCGCTGCAATGTGGGTGACCATTATGTAGCCTTCCCCGGAGAGGGCGGTTGAAGTTCAGAGACTAAGTGCATGGGACAGGCTGGAAAGCCTGAGAACATGGAACTCAAAGACTGAGCACTTCCCAGAGCCACTCTGACAGGGACAGAAACCACCTGATGTCACTTCTGGAGATGACAAGAATCCCTCAAGTACTTTCCATTGTCTTCATTGTGAGTCCTAAGTACGAGTATTACATAGAAAAAATTAAATGTTCAACAGAGAAGCAGAGGCATCAGAGGCACAAAGCTCCCGGCAATTCATTCAGTCTGCTAGTGCAACAAACGCACTCACACGCCTACCACATGCGGACGTCGCTTCGGGTACTGAGGCAAAGTCACCGTGCGGTACAGCAGCCCTGCCTCCCGCAGAAGCCCGGCCACTCACTCTCAGCAAGGTGTCCTGGTGCCCTGGCACACCCACTCGCCTCCCTTCTTTGAATCTCCTCTCTCCTCTCACCTCCTTTTAGCCAACTCCTACTTAAACCTCAACACTCAGCCCCAGGCCATGTTTTCTGAGAGCCACAAGATCCTCATCACAAGTCTGTCTAGCTTTCAACACACACCTGTGACACGGTCTAGATACAGGTTGGTTCTGCTACCTTCGCCGGCCTCTTTCCATGACAGAGTATTAAATAGGTTTAACGTTTTCTACCAGCAATTTCAGGAAGATTCCACATTCCTCACATACCTTGCACACAGAGGGGAAACCTTCCTATATGTAATTCTTGAGTGGCGAACAGCTAAGTGGAGTCACGTAACAAGAAGAACAGGCAATATGACCTACACTGTGCCAAAATGTAGTATGGTCACTTAAATATTCTATGATGAGCATGCAAGGTCTAACAGTATACACCAAAATGCAAAATACCATGTGGGTCAATATGCCTGACTTTCTAAATACATGGAACGTATTTAGACTTTGAGGAATTTGAAGGAAACTAATTTTTTAATCCAAGCAATACTATGCTTTTGAAAGTTAGTCCTTCAAAACAGAAAAATTTGTTTAAAATTGATCTTCAAAGTATAATTTTCTTTGTTCCAAAATAATGCCTATGTGATTACCATCTTTTTTTGTTGGGTTTTTTTTTTTTGGTCGGTCATGGGGCTTGAACTCTGAGCCTGGGTGCTGTCCCTCAGCTCTTCAGCTCAAGGCGAGCACTCTACCGCTTGAGCCACAGCACCATTTCCAGTTTTCTGGTGGTTTATTGGAGATAAGAGTTTCATGGACTTTCCTGCCTGGGCTGGCTTTGAACCATGATCCTCAGATCTTAGCCTCCTGAGTAGGTGGGATTACAGGCATGAGCCATAGTTACCTGGTTTGTGATTACTATCTTAAAACACTTCAAAATGATAACCCAGGATGGAGAAAAAGATGAGGAAACAAGGAAAAGAGAAAAGAGAATAAAACAAGGACAGGAGGAAGAAGGAGAGACAGAGAAAGAAAAGCAAATCACTGTCCAGTACTTCTCATCCCTGCCCTGAGAAGCACTGAGATCAGAGATGTGATTCCAGCCCCTGAACACAATGGTGACATTAAAATGACTCTATTTGCATGCCCAGAGACTTCTCAACCACTACAATGCCACTTTAATTGCTAAAGGAAGTAATTATGCCAAAATCTACAGATTCAATTGGAAATTTTCCACTGCAGTTTCTTTTTTCTTCCTAAATTGTTGGCACACAGTAATTTTATTAGCACTTCCAGATTTGTAAAAAGAACATGCACACACACACACACACACACACACTTTTTGCCAGGTACCAGTGGATCCACCTGTAATCTTAGCTACTCAGGAAGCTGAGATCTTAGGATCAAGATTCAAAGCCAGCCTGAGCAGAAAAGTCCATGAAACTCTTATCTCCAATTAAGCACCAAAAACTGCTAAAAGTGGAGCTGTGGCTTACATCGTAGCATGCTAGCACCCAGGCCCTAAGTTCAAGCACAAGGACAGGCACATACACAAACACACACACACACACACACTTTTAAAACTTATTGTAAAGGTAATGAATACAGGGGTTACAGTTACAAAAGTACACACACATGTTTTGCCACTACCAGTTACTCTGCAGTCTAAAGTATTCAAGACTAGCATTGTTTTGTTAAGAAAACAAAAATAAAAAGTTATAAATCCATTAGCAAGAAACACAGAGTTTTTTTATTAACATTTAACAAATGTTAATATTTATCCACAAAACTCAAAATTTCTAAACATGAAGTTTAATTAAATCTAATTACTCAGTAACTGGTGGTTCCCATTGAAACATGTATAAAATATAAGTTTCTGGATTAGCAATCTGTACACTGAAGAAGCATATTCTCAGTTTACAAATCCCAGGTGCTCTGGCCAGCATTAAACACTTTACTGATAAAGCAGTGCATTCTAGAATTTATAGAAACAGATTAACAAGTCTTGACACAAGCTAGTCAGTCAACATATACCAGATTTCAAATCACAAACTATAACTGACCTAGTTAGCAGCCATGAAGACAAATGGCAAAAGAGATGACTGCTAAAGAGACTGCAGAAGAGACTGCTGGTCAATCCCACTCTGGACATTTACCCAAATAACCACATATGAGGCCACACTAAAGCTACCAGCACAACCATGTTCAAAAAATGCAATATATATATATATATATATATATATATATATATATATATATATATGGGAATTCTATGCCTCCATTAGAAAGAATGACATTGCCCCATTGGTTAGGAAATGGAAAGACTTGGAAAAAAATTGTATTACATGAAGTAACCCAGACCCAAAGAAACATAGGTTCCATGGTTTCCCTCATTTGTGATAATTAGTATTGTGTCTAGGATATTCCTAGCAGAGGATCACAATAGTTCAATAGTTATGTATATATGACCATATAAAATGATGCTAATCAAAATGAATTCCAAGATATGGAAAGAAGAGGTTTGTGTTTGTTGTTGTTTTTAATGCACTGTGTGAAGTTATTTCTTTTTTCTTTTGTGTTTTTCCCTCTATGGTTTATCCCCTGTTGTATTTGATTTTGGCAGCCTGGAGTAATATATATATATATATATATATATATTACTCCAGGGGAGGGAGTTGGGGGGGAGGGAAAGATAGAGAAAAATGAGGAAGGGGGTAACAATGTTTGGCACGTAATGCACTCATTGCTTACTATGCAACTGTAACCCTCTTACATCACCTTGACAATAAAATTAAATTTTAAAAAGAAAATAAATAAAATACGTTCTATTGAAAGGAAAAAATAAGTAAATAAACAAATAACAAATCTTCTGGTAGCTTACCCAGTTTCCAGGTTTCATTTCATATTAACAGATTTCCAATTTCACCAGAAATGTTGCTTTGCCCAACTTTAATAGATAAATAGATCCTCCTGAATTTCCCAGCCTCCGCGGTGGAGGTCCATGCTACTTGGTTCTCAGCAGTAAGACGCCAACAGAGGTTGCTGAGGGAGACTGGGATGGTTCGTTAAAGTGGTCTGATCTCACTGATTCGTACCTTTTTGCCCTTCCTTTCTTCTCCCTGTCAGCTACACATGGCGGGAGAATTGAAGCAACCATCTTAACACCACAAGGTGATTTTTACAGATTGAGGTTATGTGCCCAAAATAGCACAGTTTAAAAGGAAAGCCTTACAAAGAACCCAAGACAAAGTCATGACATTAAAAGGCAGCCAAGGAAAAGCAGGGAGAAGCATA